TAGGGAAACAGCAAAAAAGTCTCGGCCTCCTCCTGACAGTGTCACCACTGCCAACCCTTGGCCGAGACTCCAGCCTGGATTGGCAGAGCCCACAGCATCTGTGGCCCGTTCTACTCTATCTAGTTCTAGGGGTGGGAATGACTCATTCAAGGGAAGATTCACTGAATGCTTCCAATGAGCCAGCACCTACCCTCGTTTAAACGTTACTTGATGTAATCCTCACGCCAGCACCTGGTGGCAAGATACCAGGGTCCACATTTTCCTGGGAAGGCCCTGGCGGGCCTGTGGTCACAGGCAAGAGCAGAAGATTGTATGTGCTTTTCCGGCATTATCTCGGTGCTGGCGAGACTGACTCTTAAAAGGGAGATTAATTAGGAAATAAAGGTTTATAGCAAAAGTCAACCCACGCCACGTACACCCATACAGATGCACACATGTATCTAGAAGGGTCCCTCAGATACAGGTCTAATGCAGTCGCAGACGAGGCAGCCTGTCACCCCCACCTCAGCCTGATCTCTGAGAGGCTACGTTTGGGCACCGCACGTGGCGCGTGTCCCTGTGCAGTGGTGCTACGATGCTGCGGCTGAGCCACTGCCACTGAGGGGCACTGCCCGGAGGCCTGCCACCACTTGCGAAGATGGACAGCAGTGAGGGAGGCCACCTTCTTCCAACAGAAACAGCTCACCTCCTGCCCTTGGTTGTGCCGAGTCACTTAAAGTGCCGGTGTGCTTGCCACTGTGTCCTGGCCCATCCCAGATCCAGTTCCCTCCCAAGCAGGTCTGTCCTAAGCTTTCCATTTAGACGGTGCTCCTGGGTGGAGGAGGAAAGAAATGGAAAGACAACACTGCTTTCTTCCTACGTTAGCATTAGTGCAGTGTATCTCATGTCAGGCGTCTTTCCTTTTGGTCTAATTTCTCTGCGCTAATTGGGAAAAACATCTTTTATTACCCTTAGAGCTTTTCTAAACACTGGCCCTTTCTGGACACCGGCGTTCCGAGCACTCCACGGTCCCTTCTCCTGTTCATCCGGCCTCTGGCATGCAGTAGGCTCTCTATAAACACGTTAAATGGACGACCAAGTAGCGATGTGCCCATTCTTCTGTCCTTTGTGTGTGACTGTGCATATGTGCGCACACACACAGTTTGTAGCTACCTTAACAGCTTTCCTTTGAAGCCACTTTGATTCATTATCTATGTCTTATTTTCTTGTCAGCTGCGCTGTGACACGTGCACAGTGGAGAACTTTCCTTTCTTAGTCATTTTCCCTTTCACAGCCTCTGGTGGAGACTTCTAGGGGACAGCCCACAGGGCCCGGCCTCCCCCTTCCTTTCCAATATTCTTGTCCGAATTCAGTATGAAAGAGAATGCCCTCAACACAATAATTCGTAAAGATCTATGCACCCCTATGTTCACGGCAGCACAATTTACAATAGCTAAGATATGGAAGCGACCTAAATGTCCATCAACAACGATTGGATAGAGAAGTAACGGTTCACATATACAATGGAATATTACTCGGCCATTAAAAAAATGAAATCTTAACAGTCGCAACGACGTGAATGGAGCTAGAAGTTATTATGCTGAGTGAAATAAGTCAGAGAAAGATAAATTCCATCTGATTTCACTTATGTGCGGAATCTAAGGAACAAAAAGAACAAACTAATCAAAAACAGACTCACAAATATAGAAGACAATTTGGTGACGGCCAGAGGAGAGGGGGGTTGGTGAGCTGGGAGAATGGAGTGACAGGGTAAGTACAAATTAGTAGCTGACAGATGGTCACGGGGATGGGGAGCCCGGCATAGGGAACGCGGTCAACAGTAACGTGATGGCCAGGTGGAGGGCCAGAGGCGAGAGCGCGATCGGGGGAATCATTTCATAAACTATATAAATGTCTAACCAATGTACTCTACACTTGAAACTAATAAAAAATTTTTTAAAAAGAGAATGCCCCACCCCTTTTGTGTCAGGCTTACTGGGTAGTGGTCAATTTCTCAAATACGTGCTGTTTAGTATAAGGAGATACCAGCAAATGTCTATATGTTGGCCGACACTTTCTGCAATGATGGAATTATTTTGTATCTGTTGTCCAGTGTGGTAGCTACGTGCCACATGTGGCTACTGACCATTTGAAGTAGATCGAGGTGATTTGGGGATGGAATACTAAATTCTATGTAATTTTAACATGCTTAATGTAAACAGCCACTGCAATGGACTGCGCAAGTCTGAATTTTACTATATGTCTTACCATTTTGTTTCTTTTAATCCACATTAGAAATTATCCACATCTCTTCTTTTGTAGGGAGATAAAGCTCCCCAAATTCAAAAGAGTGCATGGTTTATCTCGGGAGGCCTGCTTGCATAAAAAGGAAAAGGCTGGTTCTGTGGAATTCCAGGAAGAAGATTAAGTATAGATAAAGGAAGTGTCAAAGGGAGTGTCAAAGGGAGTG